TCAACGAGGGTATGCATCGAGAAGTAGCAGCGGTGGACAATGGATTCACTCCGCTATCCTTGGCAAAAGAGAACTGGCGCAAACCTGTGGTACTGAGCGTCAATGACCGCAAGGAGGTATGGCATAGCAAGGAGCTCCACGGACGCTTCTTCCGGGCCCTTCATGGGCCCAGTGTAGATTTTCTAGCGTCCGTATCTTGGCTACGATTCAGTAATCTCTTTGGAGAAACTGAAGGATTTGTCTGTGCAATTATGGACGAAGTTATCCTTACGAATAACTACCGGAAATATATAATTAAGGATGGGACGATTGACATATGTCGGGCATGTCATAGTCCTGGTGAATCCATTAGACATATTATTTGGTTGTGGTCGTTTGGCTAACAGTGAATATTTGCATAGGCATAATCAAGTAGCCAAGATTATCCATCAGCAACTTGCTTTGCACTATCGACTTGTTGAGTCTGAGGTACCGTACTACAAGTATGTGCCCGACCCAGTTCTGGAAAATGACCATATCACGTTGTACTGGGACCGGTCTATCATTACTGACAGGACTATTGTAGCCAATAAACCTGACATAGTAGTGATAGACCGTCAAGTACGCCGCACGATGATAATCGATGTCACCATTCCCCATGACGAGAACCTCGTGAAAGCTGAGAAAGATAAACAAATAAAATATCTAGACTTAGCTCACGAGGTTGTCGACATGTGGAGTGTGGATTCGGCTATCATTGTGCCGATAGTCGTGTCGGCCAATGGGTTAATCCCTAAAAGCCTCGACATCCATCTCAGATCTCAGAGCCCTAACCACCGGTAGCTTGGACCATGCTCCCGCTACTGGTCGGGTCCTATTTTTTATATTTTTAAATATTATTTTTTTAATTTTGTAAGTAGTATTTAGAAATATAATTTATAGAGAATTTTAAATAAATATATGTAAATAATAATAAATAATCTTTATTGTACACCAATTTGAGACAGTACATCAAGGAACAAATAAAGAAAATAGGGTACTATGTATTTACTTAAGTGTGGGAGAGCCATGCTTCGGCTCGACCGGAGTGATACCACGGCCTTACAGAAAACCGACGTGAAGCAACGCTTGCGTTGTGTTTCGTCGTGTGAGTGAGGTTACCGGAGGCCCAATTACCCTCCCCTTCCGCAATCTCCCCAATCCCTGAATCCTCAAACTCTCCTCAAAAGGCCGGTAACGCATTTGTAAAACCTCTGGTGTTCCATGTGTCCATGGGCGACGCCGATTGCTTACCATCAGGTGATCCGTCAGCTCGTTTACCGGCTTATGCCATAAAAAATGTATGTATGTATGTTTTTATGTTTGTCTTAGCATATCCCGGGAACAAGTCCGATCTAAGTTATTCGTTTTACTAGTTATTGTTCAACTTAAGGATACTTCATCAACATCGCAGGTCGTCGTAGATAAGTCCATAAAGTTTCCTGGTATTGGTATTGTAGGTCCCGATTCCGATTAAATGCTCCCATGGGATAAAACAGGAATACGCGGGCAAAGCCGCGGGTAAAGGTTATTTAAAATGTAAGTATGAGTATAAACCTTTTTACGTAAGGTATTAATTAGAATATAAGATTTTAATAATAACATTGATAAGATACCTTAATTACCTATTGTAAGTACATGTGTATGTATTACACAATTGTATTATTAATTTCATATAGGATTTGCAATGTTATCCTCTGTTTTCATTACTTTATCTACTCTTAATAAATTATATAATAATAGTATAATCTATCGTACCTAAGTATATAACTTACTGAACGACACAGGTTTTCATTCATTCTGATTACGTATCGACACGTCTGCCGTACGTCTCTTTACAAATAAAAATAAAACTTATAAGTTTATAATAAAAATGTGAGTAAAATAATTAAAATTATAAGTTTATAATTTTTTTATAAGTTTATATTCTGTGGTCTGTTGTGTTGGTGTGTTTTATAATTAATTTTTAAAGCTGTTGTGAGCACGTGTTATTTGTTTTTTAGTTTCGTGTTTGAGTAATGTGTGAATATCAGGTATTTGGTTGTTATTATATTAATTGTTACCTATTCCAAGGTTAAGCTACTTCGAACATCGTGTCGTTAGGAAAATAATATAATGTTGGAATACTGAAACGCTACTCAATTTTAAGTCCTGCTTAAGTATAGTTCTATCTCTACAAATTCTTTGTAAAATGACAGAGATGGCACGATATTTGAGCTCGACTTAAAATTGAGTAACGTTACAGTATTCCGGCCATATGTCAGTCACATGAACAACATGAAAATGAAAATATAATTTATCGTTACATTATAAAAAGTAAGATAGAATTATTTTTGTCTTATAAAACAAACGATGTAAAACAATTTATAACTTAACTTTAAAAGGCCTGTTTCACATAATTTGATTAAGTTCTTTTATCGATAGGCGCTTGGCCATTAGTCTCTGTTCATCTAACAGACAAATAATTTAACGTTTGCCTTATAAAATACAATAAAAATCTAAGTACGTATTATATATAATATGCTAACTAAGTATTATATATAACTAGCTTCTGCCCGCGACTTCGTACGCGCAATCCCATTTTCCTCCCGTTCCCGTTCGTGATTTTCGGTAAAAAGTAAAAAAAAAGTTTTGTAAAAAGTATTCTATGTCCGTCTCCTGGTTCTAAGATACCTCCCTGCCAATTTTCATCTAAATCGATTGAGGCGTTCTTGAGTTATAAATAGTGTAACTAACACGACTTTCTTTTATATATATAGATATGCTAACATCATTTTAATTGGACATTGTAAAACCTTACCCTTACAATAATATTTCAGTTTCTTGAAGTACCTACGTATCCATTTTAAAACACATTACATAAGTGGCCATTGCTGACCAAAGGCCTCTTCTCATACGGAGAAGGTTTAAGGCATTAATCACCACGATTGTTTAATGCGGGTTGGTGATTTCAAACTTATATCGCACAGGTTTCCTCACGATATTTTTCTTCAAAGTTTGTCAGTGGTATCTAGATAATCTCAGAAAGTACATATAACTCGGAAAAAGTCACATTGGTAGGTACTTGTTGTAGGTACGTTCCGAACCCCACATTTTTAAATAATATTACATAACTACTTCATGGGAAAATCTTTCGGTACTTAATCATATTATAATGACACAGTGAAACCAAAAGTTGAGTATTCAATGGCTAGGTATTAAGTTTAAAACAATTGAATAATATTAAAAAAAAAAACAAGTCGTTAAACAGTTCACACAACGATAAATACTCAAACTTGTATTAGAAAAATCTGTGTAAAGTGATTCTCAACCTAATATTGGAAATGGGTCGCATTTGAATATTATAATTAAACATATAAAGTTTTCTTTCTTCATACATATATTTGTAATCTTTGAAATAGAGTTAAAGGAACAGTTGTTAAAATTATCTCCTATACTATGTTTTTTTTGTCGCGGAGAATCTAACTGGTTGCCGGGGCTCCAGTTCGAAGCGCAGGAGTAGGAACGGAGTGGTTTTTAGTGAGTAAGAGTCTGACACTCCCTCCCGCCTCAGTGGGAGCCGGTGCCCCGGTAACCCGTTAGGTTCACCGCTACATCTATGACCTTTACAGATACAGTGTCAGTCCATTTTATAAGTACAGTTTACCTATAAATGTATAACTGCAACTTCCAAGCATGTTTAGGTATAGAACGAACGGTGACTATTTTGTTATCACTGTATGCAAACAAGTTTGTTTTCATATTGATAACCTTAACTTGTACTGGTGTCCTATACTATATAATATGTCGAGGAGAATCTAATGGGATACCGGGGCTCCGGCTCGACGTGCAGGCGAAGGAACTGGGTGGTTTTTAGTCCAGTAAGAGTCTGACACTCCCTCCCTCCTCTCCGCCTCACCCAAGCGGGAGAACCCAATCGATGATTTTCCACCCTTAAAAAAAATACTATACAATATGTATTGAGCTGACTGTCTGTGTTAATCGATTTATCAAAACCTCTGCACATTTTCCTCACCTCCTATTTCATGGGACTCATAACGTAATTGGTGCGTGGTATTTACTTCGAATGGTACTTAAGTATTAATGGAACTTTTCGGAACGATTTTATTGTTCGTATTATTCATTGGTTAAGAAAGTAGTTTTCTTATCGAAGTTGTTCTTGCTGTTTATTTCCGCATTTTGCTTTTACCCAATGAGGTAAGTTTCTTATTAGGATGTTCATGGACATCAATGAATATTTGAAAAGACGAATTACCGGAATTAGTTTAGCTATTCTTAAGTTTTGTAGTTAGTAAATAATTTAGCCATAGATATAAGTAATTTATGTAATTTAGTCATTGATTATGTTTCACATCACAATCAAGTCAATTATTATGTTTTCGGCTTACTCACGTAACTGTTTAACGAGGAACCCAACTAGTTTCAAGCCATGCTAGAGGCTCATACTCATGAGTAGCATACCGCGACCCGCGACGAGGCGACTGTCGCGCTGATACTGGTCGTGAAATGCTGCTCATGAAGCGGACCAAAAACATAACAATTAATTTAGTAGATATATCGCAGACTGCCTCGTTGGCCGAGTGGCCGCAAGTGCCACTGCCGGGCAAGGGGTCTCGGGTTCGATTCCCGGGTCGGGAAAAGTATTACTTACTTAAGTAAATTCTCAGTAGTAGCACGGAGTCTGGAGTTGTGCCCGGCATATGGCAATAGATTCACCCCCTATTACATGGGACTCAAAACTAAAATAGTGAAAAGTGGGTGGGTAACATTGTTCAGTGGCATAATGTTATCTCAGGAAAGTTGTAACATAAACAATCAAGTCATTTAGAAAAGAGTAGGTACACAATTTCTTCAATACACATCTGTTTTTATTTATCAAGAGATAATTACAACAGCGCTTAGGTTGAGCAGCTCTGATAAGACTGTACAACGTGTATAAATGTATGACAGCAAAATTTTTGTTTAATTACTCCGCAGACGTCATGGATCGCGTGAAGGTGTTTTGTTTGCTGGTCAGCATCGTGCTGACTTGTGGTGAGGCCTCCAAGATCCTGGTGGTGTTTCCCATGCCTTCCAGAAGTCATGGTAACCTTGGAGATGGTGTTGTCAGGCATCTGCTGAATGCTGGACATGAGGTTAGTTCTTTTTTGGCATACGCATGAAGATTTGTAGATTAAATGACTCACTAAGGTATAACGGTGTCGCGGAGAACCTAACGGGTTACCGGGGCTCCGGCTCGACGTGCAGGAGAAGGAACGGGATGGTTTTTAGTCAGTAAGAGTCTGACACTCCCTTCCGCCTCACCCAGGCGGGAGCAGTCATTCGATGATTTTCCCCCCTTAAAAAAAAAAAAGGTATAACGGTTTGTCAGTATTTTTTGTTATATTTACATTTATATGACAGTCGTTACTGCTAGTTAAAAATGTGACAAAAAGTTGTATTAAAAACGTGATAAATTTGTAGAGAATAGTGCGTTTATTTATTTAATTTCTTGTTCGTAATACTGAAATAGTTTCTATAGCAAAAAAGTACTATTCTACAAGAAGGTTAAAAATGGTTTAAATTTTTTGTTATTATTATACCTACTACAATAAATAAGTAATATGCATTCTCCTCTAGTCTGTTTGAATAAGCATGATAAAATAATTAAAAATTCTATTACTTACGTTACGTATTACTGTTGTAGATAATACACAAACCTTGATTTACAAATATCTAATCATTTATCTCTTTTTGGTTTTGAAAATAGACTGCCTTGATGATTAAAAAGGTAATATCAACAAAATTATTGTTGTTGAGTCGACGGATCACCTGATGGTGAGCAATCGGCGCCAGATACACCAGAGGTGTTTAAAGTGCGTTACCGGCCTTTTGGGGATTAGGAATTTGAGGATTATTGGGGAGGTAATTGGGCCTCTGGTAGCACTCACAAAACGAAGCATAATGCATGTGTTGTTTCACGTCGGTTTTCTGCTCGGCCGTGGTATCACTCCGGTCGAGCCGGCCCATTCGTACCGAAGCATGACTCTCCCACACTTAAAATGTATTATATTCATCTAATGCTAATGTAGGATTAATGTTTCCTTACTAAGTAACATTTTACATTGTCTGAAACAAAAAATTCGTCCTAACAATGTCTAATTAGTTCCAAAGAGTAATGGCTAGTGCATGACGTCACGTTTTGAAGTTTCTCTCAGTTTGAGCTCTGAAGTTTGGCGTTTGACCTAGTTGAAAGTCTGGGAGGCTTCGAAAGTCGTAACATATGCCTGAAAGTGCGACATTAAAATTAGAAGTTGATAAGTTCGCAATTTTTTTAATAGGGTTGAAAAGTACCAGAACTATGTAGTTGTAGTAAATTACGTTGACAAAAAGGCGGACACAGTCTATTGAAACAACGACTGTGGCATCTGTGCCTTTAGCCAAACGCCACTTTAGCGCTTGTCTACAGAGAGAGCAGAAATCAAAATGTATGGGGATGACACTGATAAGTGTCAAAATTTACGTCAATCCCATATAATTTAGTTTTCTACTCTACAAGTAGATAAGCGCTAAATGGCATGTGGCTACAGCTGCTGTTTACTAGACTTACACTCAGAATATCCACACATTGACACAAAGGGCATCTGTTAGTATCTCAAGTTTGGTGACGTGGTAACCTATTAAACACACACATAAATAACAAACTGACATTTTGATGATTCAATAATTTCTAAGTAACATTATGCCCACCTTTTTGTCTTTGGTTGTGGTTATTGTTATTATGGGTGTGAGAAGTGAAGTTTTGACTCTGAGTAGAAGGAAATAAGACCTAATTTCTCACAAAAGATGTAGGTCAAAATGTGATCGTCCTTTTTTGAAATTCTCACTCTAGTTATTCCAAAAACTCTCTGAGAAGTACTCTACGTAACTGTATTTATCTAATCGCGAGCATGATGAGCATCTTCAATCAGAATATAAATGATAAGTCTTACTTATGAGTACAGATTTTTTTATAATCGTGTTACGAATATGTGGGATTAACAAGAAAATAAACGTAGGTACTTGGGATAGTTACATTTACTGTAATATACTTGTACCTGCCTAAAAATAAAATGCGTTTTACAATAATTAACGATTGCTATATTTATTTATATTTATCGAACAAGCGGGCAAACGAGCGGACGAATCACCGATTGGTAAGCAATCGGCGTTGTCCACAACCTAAACATACGAGTTACAAGAGTACGTTACTAGTACATTACCGGTCTTTTGGGGGTTAGGGATCGGGGATTGGAGAGATTGAGGAGTTGGTAATTAGCTCTCCGGTAACTTCATTACTAGAGGCCCAATTTTACTATTACTTAATTTCCCCAATCCCTGAATCCCCAATAATCCTAATTCCTAAAATTCAAAAGGCCGGTGTCGCACTTGTAACGCCTCGGGTATCCATAGCCGACGCAGATTTTTTACCATCAGGTGATCCGTCCGCTCGTTTACCGGCTTATCCCATAAAAAAACATATATCTATTCTCTTCCAGGTCACCTACATCACACCGTTTGTTTATAAGAATCCTCCTCCAAAACTTCGCACCATTGATGTCAGTGCCACTTTAGATGTTATACCCAGTAAGTTCATATAAATACTGACATATTTGTATATGAAAAAGTTACAAAAAGTAATAGAATCTTACATGAAAACCTTAATGGAAATGGATTGGCGCTTAAATCTAACTAAAGTATTTGAATTAGTACTTCTATATAAATAAAAATGAATTTCCATTCGTTAGTCTCGCTAAAACTTGGGAACAGTTAATCCGATTAGCCTAATTTTGGCCTTAAAATGTTTGTGGAAGTCCAGGGAAGATTTGAAAGTTGAGAAAAATGGCGATTTGAAGATTGCCGGGGCAGCTAGTGCTTAAATAAGAAAAATCTTGCACTTTTTCTTCTCTGGTCCAAAAGACAAAACAGCGCTTCAAGAAAAGTAATAACCACAACTTCTTTCCTTTCAGAGGACATGATGACGATAAAGAGTATCATGGACAGAACTATAGTCGTGGAGAATATTGGGTTTCTGATATACATGATGACGCAGGTGCTAAAGACGGCAGTGGAAACTGAATCAGTTCAGAAGCTACTAAATGACCCTAAAGAAGAGTTTGACCTTGTGATTGCAGAGTGGATGTTTAGTGATGTTCCTGCAGGGTAAGTGTTAATAATTGTGCCACAAGATACGGACAGATCTTCACATTACGTAAATTTTTCCCGAGTTCTGTCATTAATTCGACCTAATTGTTCGTGTACCAAACAATAAGCACAGTTTCTGCGTCTGGATTATTGCTATTTATTTTTTTATCGAATTAATTGTAACTCGTTGCAAAATAAGTATAATAATTATTATAGTGTTTCCGTTTTTTCATCCTCACATTTACTGTATCTGTAAATTTCTACATTTTAATCGTGCTTGTACAGTTGTACACGTATACCTTAGTGGTGTCGCGGAGAACCTAACGGTTTACCAGGGCTCCGGCTCGACGTGCAGGAGAAGGAACGGGGTGGTTTTTAATCAGTAAGAGTCTGACACTCCCTCCCACCTCACCCAGGCGGGAGTAGTCATTCGATAAATTTCCCCCCTTAAAAAAAATGCCGTTTGAAAGTGTTTGTTACACTGAGTAAAAGGTTTTAGTATGTTCATTAAATTAAATAGTATGTTAAAAGAGGGGGTTGAAACCGGTTTCTTTAACCGTATAGATTATAAAAGAGTTATGTTTTCTTCTACCAAATGTTTCATAATTTCAGAATTGCAACAATATACGACTGCCCACTTATATGGTTGTCATCAGTAGAAGCACACTGGATGATACTTCAACTGATCGACCAGCCAACCAACCCCGCGTACACAGTGGACATCATGTCAACATACACACCACCATTGAACTTCTGGCAGAGGGCTAATGAGTTGTGGACTCAAGTGAAAATCAAGTTCTTGAACTTTGTGTAAGTATTACAGCTGTTCGTAAATAAAATTTAAGTGTAGAAGAGCCACACTTCCGCGCGAATGGGCCGGCTCGACCGGAGTGATATCACGGCCTCACAGAAAACTGACGTGAAGCAACGCTTGCGTTGTGTTTTATCATGTTAGTGATGTTGCCGGAGGCCCAATTTTCCAGATGGGCGACGCTGATTGCTTACCATCAGGTGATCCATCTCCTTGTTTACCCGGTTATCCCATAAAAAAAATAAGAACTGTTAGAAGAAATGTTGTACGTCAGGATATCTCCTCTCAATCTTTCTTGTATTCAAATTAATCTAAGAGAGTGTCAGTATTACCAATATATTTATCAGTTTGTTATCCTGTTTACTTTGAGAGCGAAAATAGTAGTAGAATTCTAAAAAGATAAAGAAAGAAAAAGAAACCGCGGTTAACCTACGAAGTCTGGAGTGACTTACATTAAAACATTACAAAATTATTTATTTAAATCCCCAGATGGTTGGATGGTCTTCAAGAGAGAGCATACAAGGAACTATTTGCTCCGTCTATTACAAAGCGTGGCCGGCAGCCACCATCTTTCGACGATGTTCGTCATAACGCGTCGATGATATTGTCCAATGCTTACGTATCTACATCGGTTGCTCAATCTCTGCCACAGAGCCATAAGTACATTGGGGGATATCATATTGAAGAAAAAGGAACGGCTTTGCCTGAGGTAAGAACAGATTCTGTTACTCTGATTCTCAATATAAAGTAAATAAAAAAAAAATGTTGTAAAAACAGCTTGTTCGCTGGGATATGATCAAGAATCCATGGGGGTATAGTTTCAATGTGTTAACTAATAATTTCGTTTCTTATAATAGTACCATTATTACCTTTACCAAAAATATTACTATGAAAGCAAATCGCACTGACATTGCCAAACATTTCCACCATCTTATAAACATCAACACATGTGCTGCCATCTGTAATGAAGAAATGTATCTCAATAGAAACTTATATTACGTTTTCTTACTAACAGGACTTGAGGAAAATTATGGACAATGCAAAGAATGGAGTCGTTTACTTCAGCATGGGTTCAAATTTGCAAAGCAAAGATATGCCTGACGAGATCAAACGGGATCTCCTGAAGATGTTCGGAACTCTGAAACAGACTGTGCTGTGGAAATTCGAGGAACAACTGGAGAATGTTCCTTCAAATGTCCACATTCTTAATTGGGCTCCACAACAAGCTATTCTCTGTAAGTTTTCGTCGATATACCTATGAATAGTCATATGTATTTATATTGAATTTTCGTTAAAATATATAAGAATCCCTAAGGCTAACGAAAATACTTATTACTACGGTATTTTAAGTCAGTTGGAACATAACAGTCGTCCTCCTTTAAAACTATAACTCCTTTATAAGAATAAAGGAGTTGTACGAGGTTTCATCTTAGGGCCGATTTTTCAATCAACAGATAATTCTTAACAGTATAAAACATAATAAACATAACATAACCATAACATCACGCCTTTTAGCCCCGAAGGGGTAGGCAGAGGTGCACAATACGGCACTTAATGCCACTATACAATGTAACACCCACTTTTCACTATTTATGTTATGAGTCCCATGTAATAGGGGGTGAGCCTATTGCCATATATCGGGCACATTTCCAGACTCCGTGCTACTACTAAGATTTTTAAAAACCCAGTAATACTTTGCCCGACCCTGCAGTAGAATAAAATCGACATAATTATGATCGTTTTTGTATGGAATATTCACAGTTCCTCTGATATAATTTAACTGCTTTTGGCAAAATCGCCACTTATGGAAAAGAAGCGACGGAACGCGGAACGCCTTTAACAAACAAACCGTAAAATGGGGTGAATAGGGATCGAGAGGTGAATAGGGGCAGAAGAGGGGTGAATATGATGAAGATATAAGAAAATTATTCATAGTATCGATTCATCCCTCTTCTGTCTCTTTTCGCCGCTCAAACCCTATTCACCCCATTTTTCCGTACCACTGTGTAAAGATTATGACGCAGATTTCTGTGTTTAATGTCCTTTTTAATTTTTGCAGCTCATCCCAATCTCGCCGTCTTCGTAACACACGGTGGCCTCCTGTCGACAACCGAAGCTGTTCACTTCGGTGTACCAATTATTGGTATACCGGTCTTTGCTGATCAGTTCATGAATGTTGCCAAATCAGTGAACAGAGGTTTCGCGTTACGAGTAGACCTTTCTTATTCTCTGGCTGCAGAGCTTAAGGAAGCGATACATGAAGTTACTACTAACTCAAGGTTAGTATTTGAAGGAGATCTAAGATAGAATAAGAAATTCGCTGTAGAACACAACATAACTTCATGCCTTTTATCCCCGAAGGAAAAGGCAGAGGTGTACATTACGGCACTTACTATTTTATGTTACGAGTCCCAGGTAATGGAGGGTGAGCCTATTGCCATATACCGGGCACATTTCCAGACTCCATGGTACTACTGAGATTTCTTGGAAAAACCCAGTAATACTTTGCCCGACCCGGGAATCGAACCCGATACCCCTTGCCTGGCAGTTACACTTGCGACCACTCGGCCAACAAGGCAGTCACTTGCTGTAGAACAAATGTTTTAGGTATATTTAGTTTTGCTATTTGGTGCATTGAATACAATACAGTATATTTTAATTTAAATGTTTTATTCTTTCACGAATTTGCAGCTTCTGTCTACAATAAAATAATTTGAATCATAATGATGAACTCGTAGTTCGTAAAAACTCGTCAAAATCCCCATAAGGTATCTGTAACGATAGTGTCCAAAAAAATTTTATTTTTCCAAGACATACATACAAATACTAACTAGTATTTTCTAACTAGGTATGCAGAAAAGGCGAAGGAGTTGTCGTACATCCACCACGACCGGCCAGTGAAGCCAGGAGTTGAGCTGGTGCACTGGGTGAACCACGTGATCAAGACACGCGGCGCGCCACACCTGCGCTCCCCCGCCCTGCACGTCCCCTTCTACCAGAAGATGTACCTGGACCTAGCCGCGGTCCTCGTCATCCTGTTCCTGGCTGGACGAATAGTACTAAAGAAAGTTTGTGCGGCAGTTTGTTCCAAAAAGAAATCTGGTACAGGAGGGAAAAAGAAGAATAATTAGTGTTGTTTTAGTTTTTTTTTTACTCTAATATTATGTATTAATAAATTATTTTAAGAGTACAGTTGTGTTTTATATTATTTGTGTAAATGTTACACTATTGGCTGATATAAAAATTAGAGAATAACATAGCATAACATCACGCCTTTTGTCCTCGAAGGGGAAGGCAGAGGTGCACATTATGCCATTGTACAATGTAACACCCACTTTTTACTATTTATACTATGAGTCCCATGTAATAGGGGGTGAGCCTATTGCCATATACCGGGCACAACTCCAGACTCTGTGCTACCACTGAGATTTTTTTAAAACCCAATAATTCTTTGCCTGACCCGGGAATCGAACCCGAGACCACTTGCCCGGCAGTCGCACTTGCGAGCAATCAGGCAACAAGGCAGTCTGAATTAAAAATAAATAAAAAATATAAGACATCTTAATTATTATTGGACATAATTTACAAGACTAGTGCAACGTCGAAGCGTAAAAAAGCAACTGAATAATGAGTTTTAGGCAAAACAAAAGATTTGAAAAATAAAAGATTTAGTTTATCAAGCAGCGATTGGACATAGGATATCGGCGATAAATTTTTCATATAAATATGGTCGATTTATGAATGAATGTATCAGTTAATCGAGGTGGTATAAGATTATAATATTACACACTTTTAACTCCATTCTCTGGTTGCCTGAAAGCTGTTCACGACCTGAAGATTGAACGTGAGACTTTCAACCTTCTCCGTGTAATTGTACGAAGCTGAAAACATAATTTAGTAAGTGATTTATATTTTTCTTTATTATTTCATTGTTATTGACATTATTAGTGCTGCATCTTGACATTTACTTATAGATTTATTGAAAATTAATTAATATTTGTACACCGGTCACGGTTAAGCATGTTGATATAAACAATACTGTACATCTATAGTAAACATTCATTTTTGCATGTATTATATTGTAACCTACACATGTTTTGGCAAATAAAACTATCTTTATCTTTATCTTTAGATCTGATTTCTTATACAGTTTTGTTTTCATGTTTTTGTGAACCTGTTCTTTAAAAGATTAGTGCTGTATATCAAATGGTAAGAAGACACTGGCCTAACAGAGTAAATTTGATGTTATTATGCCAATTCCTGTCCTATTATTGCTGGTTTTTTAAATCTTAGTAGTAGCACGGAGTCTGGAATTGTGCCGAGTATGTAGGCTCAATCCTTTTACTTGACACTCATAACATAAATAGTGAAAAGTCGGTGTTACATTGTACAGTAGAATTAAGTGCCGTAATGTGCATCTATGTCTACTACAATAAAAGGCGTGATGATGATTAATATGTCAATGTCAATCCCTTATATTCGTTTTTCTATGTGACGAATGTTTTCGGAGAATTTTATTGAATACTTTTTGCATTAATGTCACTCAGGGATTATTGCAATTTTTTTTTATTTGTTCCAATATTTTCAACGTTTTTCGCAAGTATTTTTTTTTAAAGTGACGGACGGAATATTGGCAGTTTGATCGAATGCAATTCGAATAAAAGTAGGGTGTTCCTTGGTTGAAGGTTGCTTAGGAAGAATAGGTACATTTTAAATACATATTATAGAGATTACCTTATTAGGATTTACTTTTTAATTATTAGATGTAATGCTAGTTACGATGTTTTAGTACTTTAGTTATATTGGTTACCTTTCTAGCGACATTTACTTATGCTCAGAGTAATAAGCTTATAATTTACTTTCTATTTTTTGATAAATAAAAAAAATGCTATAAACTAGGATTTTAAAACTACATAAAAGATATAAAAGAGTATAACATTTGTATAAAAATATTAAACTTCATTTCCAGACTTAGTACGTCAAATTATGTCAATATTAATCGATTTTCAACTCTATCTGACACCCTATTTATTTTAGGACACCCTATTTAACGAAGCCCAGAGCTGTCAGTCACACGACCAGCTTGTATTCAAAAATTGGTTTTCTTTTTTTACAATGGCGATGCTGAAGTCAAACCTTTACCCGTCGACCTCTTTTTCGAATATTTAATTTTAAATGAAACGTTTCTTTTTTTAAAGTTAAGTGATGAAAATGTTTTTCGTAGAGGACGTGGTATTAGTTAGTGGATTATTGATAGTAAAAACTATTGATTATGAATGAATGTAAAAACCAATTGTATTAAACAGTATAGATGTAGTAGCTGACCCAACTAATAACATAATACAAACGGTGATGGCTTGCCTGATAAATAATTCTAGGACGTCACTAAGTAATCGTTGTACGAATAATAATAATTATAGAGTTTTTAAAACGGAGATTTCTCAGTACCTATGGGATACAGTTATCATATTTATGTATTTACTTACAAAAAGGCGCATAATGATGATGCATTGAGAGCAAAAACTGCGACATTGGTTAGTCAGACCAGATCAGACGATGTATAGTCACGATGAGGCGGCACTTTTTGAACAACAAAAATAACGTAGATAACTTGGTTGGTATAGATTTTTAAACAAATACAAAGTTGGATTAATCATAAATAATATCAGTTGAATCCATCTTGTGATACGGGGAGGTCGTGTTATGAATTTTATCACAGAATGAAATATTTTTATTCATTCTGAATTGTTATGAGTAGTAGAAGTTATTTATTTATTGATACTGGCACATACACGATGAATAGACGGACTTAATACTTCGGGCCTTCTTCAACACTCAATGATTAGTTGCGAATGACCTTAAACTTGGTGAAGTAGTGAATTGAATGTGAATTGTAAATATTAGTTTCGTAATTTTTGTTGTTTATTTTTGTAAGTATTAAATAATCATTTAGTATATATTTATGAATGTTTTTTAACATGTTTTCGGATATTGAGGGATAGTATTTAGTAGTGAAGTTATTCGGTAGTCATATCCATAAAATGTACTAACAAGTAATCCCATTTTCTATTGACGTCTATAACTGCTATCAGTTATACCATAAACTGACTAACTGCTATCAGTTATGCTATAAAATACCTATGTATTTTATTAAATTCTTAAGCGTAAGATACAGCAAACAAATGATATAGTGTATACATAAAACCTACCTTTATTAGACACATAGTTCATCTGGTAGCAATTAATGTTTTTATGTTGATGTAATTATAGTAATTAAGGGATTAAGGGGTCATGTTCACCTCCGGTGTAGAGATGCATTGCTATTGCCGCGGTCTTACGCGCTCTGCGATCGGTTGGCGGGCGATCGCAATGGGAACAGGACGGCCAGTTTGGAACTCAACTGATTGTGTAATCGCCCGCCGGACTTGCGATAATTAACCGCCAAGTTTGCGGGCGATAATCGCACCATGGCTGCAGGATTGCAGAAAATAGCGGTCTCGTGAGTTTTGAAAATTCCGCCACAGCGGCGGGCGCAGTAAAAGATCGCGCCATGACTCCTTACCGTAATAGTTAACAAATCTTAAAAGATTTGAAGAAGAAGGGTTTTATTATGTCTATGCTCTAAGAGCTTTTAGTAAGTGGTTCGAAACTAGTAGAGCTTTTCTCAGTAAAATTCACGTGAGTAACCCGCGATTTTTATTTGATTTAGTATGACTCACGATAGTTGTTATAAAACATAATATAATCTTATTTGTAAAGTTATACGCCAGTCAAAACAATGACTAAATGATTTTCATAATCATCCTATAATAGAATGGGTATCTTATCAGACGTTAAAAATAGTAACTGATGCTCAGTCAGCGAAGTGATAATGATAAATTTAATGTTCATTGATAATAATAATTCATGCATGCATTATTAATAAACATTTGTTTTGATTTTGTTTGTTATGAGGGTAAAAAGTCAATTTTAACTGCATAGCTGAATGAGTACTAACCGTTACATTTTAAATTAATTAATGACATAATTAAAGTTCGGTGAAATAAGACATAAGAGAGAAAATGGATTCCGACTACAATGTATTTCGAAATGTTCAAATATATCATGCCTTTTAAGGTGTAAAAATAATATCATGAAAGCATACCTGCCTCTTAATAGTCTATTAAGTTTAGTGGACCAATCTGAATGCAATAAACAAATGACATAATTATTCTGTTTCAGATAATGGCGTTAGCAATATGCCTTTTCTTAGGCCTCCTCCTAAGCTCGTCTTGTGAGGCCTACAAAGCGCTGGTGGTGTTTGGAATGCCAGCAACGAGCCACTCCAACTTGGGTAGAGGAGTTGTGAGAAATCTGTTGAAAGATGGACACGAGGTGAGTTAAAGCCGGTTGAGATGGTCCATTAGTCCTCTTTGAACACATGAGTTACCAAGGCTGCCTCGTTGGCCGAGTGGTCTCAAGTGCGACTGCCGGGAAAGGGGTCTCGGGTTCGATTCCCGGGTCGGGCAAAGTATTACTGGGGTTTTTAAAAATTCTCAGTGGTAGCACGGAGTCTGGAACTGTGCCCGGTATATGGCAATAGGCTCACCCCCTATTACATGGGACTCATAACATAAATAGTGAAAAGTGGGTGTTACATTGTACAGTGGCATAATGTGCACCTCTGCCTACCCCTTCGGAGATAAAAGGCGTGATGTTATGTTATGTTATGTTATGAGTTACCAAAATGCTGAAAAAATGCTCGAGATTTGTTGTTTAATTTCTAACCAATTTTACGTTGTGTCATTTCTTTTACATTCCTCTCTTGCACTATTCATATTTTCCCCATAATTCAGATATCTTTTAGTTAGAACTTTCTCAAATCAGAGACCTATTATCGTCATACCACTATCCAGAATTTTATTATTTTGTGCAGTTTTCTTTGGTCACATTTATTGTCCAATTTATTAATAAATATTGTTTTTAAATTCAGGTGACATTCATCACACCGATTCCAATCAAGGATCCTCCACCAAATCTTCATCAGATTGATGTGAGCAGTAACTTTGAACTTCTGCCACGTAAGTTGTTTTGATAGAATAATTTGGAATAATTAATTTTATTATGGATTATTTCTATAGTTTTTTATCTGGTAACCTTAATCTTAATTCAGATAGATCATTTCGCGTGTTAAATTTTTGAAACTACATATTATGAAATTATTTGTTCTGGTAAAAATGATTGTATTATTGATATACGTAGTAATGCTAGTAATATTAATATATCCCGGTTCGGGCAAAGTATTACTGTTTTTTTTTAAATCTCAGTATTAGCACAGAGTCTTACAATGAGCCGGGTATATGTCACAATTTACATGGTACTTATAACATAAATAGTGAAAAGTGGGAGTTATTTCTGTGTGCACCTCTGCTTCGGGGATAAAAGGCGTGATGTTGTATGTTATTAATATATTTTACTTAAATTTTCAGTCGACCTTATGAAGATAGAGAGATTCTTGGGACACAATTCGATGCCAGCTTTGCCCCGTTTCTTCGTGAAGATGATGATGATGAACCTGGTCTCGAAAACCATGGAACATGAAAATGTTCAGAAACTACTGAATGATACTAATGCGCATTTTGATGTTGTCATCGTTGAATGGATGTTTACTAGCCTTAGTGCTGGGTAAGTGTCAATAAATAATTCGAACATGCTTTTTACACATTGTAATTCATAACTGCCGTTCTCTGATGATATCCAGTAAAGCAAGTCTTAGTTCCTACTAAATGCTACAACTGGTGCAAAAAAATATTTAGCTTAATAAATTCATAATATATTCTTACCAAAGCATTGTCGTACAATCACCACTAACATCATTCTTTGTGTCCAAAATGATAATGAATTTGTTTAATTTTTCAGTTACGCCACGATATTCGACTGCCCTCTGATCTGGTTGATTCCAGTGGAAGTTAACTCAATGACTATCGGTTTAGTCGATGCTGTACCTCACCCTGCTTACAGCACTGATCCTTTGTCATCGTACCTGCCTCCCTTTAGCTTTTTGGAAAGAGCTACAGAAATATGGACAAGGTTACAAGAGTCAGTCTTAGGATTTTTGTAAGTATACATGATTAAACAGTATTATTTTAGTCCATATTCAATTTCAAAACCAAGATAAAGTAATACATAGTAGATAAACGTTGATTCTATATAACATAACATCACGCCTTTTACCCCCAAAGGGGTAGGCAGAGGTGCACATTATGCCACTGTACAATGTAACACCCACTTTTTACTATTTATGTTACGAGTCCCATGTTGTTACCAATAGTTGATTCTAATAAATATTAAATAAAGTTTGATTTATATTTTAGGTATTATGAATCAAAGGACGCTGCTAACTACGAGAGAATTGTAGTACCTCAAGTCCAAAAGAGAGGTCGGCAAGCTCCGCCACTTAGTGAAGTCCAATACAACGCATCTCTAGTGTTGGGTAACTCACATGTGTCAATGGGGCTGCCCCTAAGTTTGCCACAGAACTACAAGCCTGTTGGAGGTTATCATATAGAAGAAGAAGTGAAGCCATTGCCTGAGGTAATAATTAAACAAAACAAATTGGTTTTGTAGTTTATCTTTGAACTTTTTCTACTCTATGAGATCATTTATTCAAATAAAAAACTTAAATTAAAAACTAACTATTACTTAAAAAAATTAAAACTAAATATTACTAAATTAAATATATACAACTTAAGATTAAAATTAATTATAAGAAAAAACAAAAACCACTATTTACATAAAGCGTCGAAAAATTCGTCGATTTTTTCTCGTGACACATCTCGTGACCAGAGGGCTGGTCTTTATCTCGGTCAGAGGTTAAGCATTGCCATACAACGTGGCAATGCTGCCAGCCTTCTGGGTACTTTCCCCACTGACGTCGATGCGGACGAATTTTTCGACGCTTTATGTAAATAGTTGTTTTTTCTTATAATTAATTTTAATCTTAAGTTTTGTAGTGAATGATGAAATCAATATAATAATAAAATTATTAATAATATTTCTTTCTTTGCAGGACTTGGAAAAGATAATGATGAACTCTAAGAACGGAGTCATATATTTCAGTATGGGTTCCAACTTGAAGAGTAAGGACTGGCCAGAAGAGATCAAACGGGATCTCCTGAAATTATTTGGAGAACTTAAGCAAACAGTGCTTTGGAAGTTTGAAGAAGAATTGCCAAATGTACCGAAAAATGTTCATATTTTGAAATGGGCGCCGCAGCCTAGCATTTTAGGTAATTTTTTCAGTATACTAAACTTACACTGCAATTGTCTTTTAACTGTCTTCGTTTGGTTTTTTAATTGCTCTTCTACGATTTCATTGATTCAAGATATTATGACTTTTGTTTCAGCTCATCCAAAATGCGTGCTATTCATAACCCATGGAGGACTGCTATCTACGACAGAAACGATCCACTTCGGTGTCCCTACCATTGCCATACCTGTCTTTGGAGATCAATTCATCAATGTCAAGAAATCAGTCGCTAGAGGCTTTACTCTGCAAGTTGATCTGTCTTACAAATTGGCTGCTGACTTGAAAGTAGCAATCGAAGAAATGCTGAGCAATCCTAAGTAAGTTATTTAAGACTTTGACTGCCAATAAAAAACTGTTAAAGGTAAATCCTCCGCTAACGCCGGTCACCGGTGACCCCCATGGCGTTTAACGTGTTAATATTTAGGAGTTGATTTTGATCTCTAACTTAATAAATCTAGGGCTATATGATTTTCTTTCTTTAATAAAGAAATAGGTCTTCGAATTTTCAAGAATTCGTTTATTGATAAATGGATCTGTAAACTAATTAGAAACTGTACTTTGATTGTCAACTCTAGAAACAAACGTATAGGTTAATCTAACTTGTCTTTTAATGTTTACAGGTACAGACAGCGAGTAAAGGAGCTATCCCACATCTACCATGACCGACCAGTGAAGCCGGGAGCAGAGCTGCGACACTGGGTGCAGCATGTAGTGAATACGCGGGGCGCTCCTCATCTGCGTTCTCCTGCACTACAAGTGCCATTATACCAACGATTGTACCTAGATTTAGTAGCATTCCTATCTGTAGTCTCCATAGCTTTGTATATACTTATTAAAAAATTATATCGTCGTGTGAGATCTAAGAAAATTGTGAATAATAAGAAGAGGAATTAGAAATAAAATTATTTATTTTATATAACTGTGATTGTTTTTGTTCTTTACAAATTAATAGTCAGCCTATTAATTATAAAGAAAACCAAGAAATATGTTGCTTGTCATGATTATCTTCTTCCTATCAATAATTGTTGCTTATGGATAATGGATTCTTCTTCGATTCTCTAATATTAGGTATCATATTTTAACCCGGCGTTATTGAGGCAGGGTCAATATGACCCTGCACGTTTTGCATACGAAAAATTTCTTAGAAATAATTGCCGCACACAACCGTCTGTCTCAGTAGCTGCAGCTAAGTATCACCCCCATCCTTCGTGTACCTCACTTTAGTCGTCCATCGCTCGAGCAAGGAGCAACACGTGTGTGAACCTGCGACCGGGTAATTATGACCCAGCTCAACGGCGACGTTGCTGCTTTGTGCCATATATTTTTTTAATATTTTATTTAGTTTTGCTTATTTACGCTACTTTATTTTTAGATAACTATCTAATATGGACCCGGAAGAACGTGAGCGTCGTCGAATCGTAGCGATACTTGAAGAATCTTCAGATAGTGACAATGAACCTTGTGCATCTGATTCGGAAAACGAAGATCATGTTAGTGTTCGTAGTCAGGAAAGTAATACTGATCAAGAAATTAGTGACAGTGAAGAAAACATTCCACTGCAACAATTACGTCAATTCAATTCAAGTGATGACATAGTAGAATTGTCAGACCAACAGGTACGAAATTATTTTTATAGTGGGAAAGATGGTACTAAATGGTACAAAACTCCTTTCCGGCAAAATGTCCGCACTCGAAGCGAGAATATTACACAGCAGCCTGGAGTAGCTCAAGAAGCAAAGACGGCTAAATCGGAATTAGAATGTTGGCAACTTTTTATACCGGATAATTTGCTGTATAAGAAATAGCAACAATGAGACAAACATGAAACGACGTCAGTTTATAAAAAAGTTGGGTTTAGCTCTCGTGAACCACCATATTTCTTTACGCAATGATTCAGTAAATCTTCCTAGGAAAATGCGCAAAAGAATGATAGAATTTACTGGAGAAACATCTGGAGAACCTCCTGCAAAGCTCACTGGTGTTCGAAGAAGGTGTCAAGATTGTCCCTACAAAAAAGATAGAAAGACAAATCACATATGTAATACTTGCCATAAGTTTATATGCCCTCAACACGTAGTCTTTTATTGTAAAAACTGCAGTGAAAGTCTAATTAAAAAAGACTGATTATTCGAAAGTTCCTGATATTTTTGTGATTAATATTCCAAAGATAGAGAGATTAGGTAGTATAAATTTGATTTAAGTATATTTTTGTAAGAAACGATATTGTTTTTTGTTGATAAAAAAACCCTTAGAAGAGAGTTAAATTTTTATTGTATAATTAACAGTCTTATTGAAAGTTAAAAATAAAAATTACTTCATTTATTACCAAGGTGTTTTATTGTTGCTACTGATTATATATACACTTATATATTATTAAAATCGAATAAAAAAAATTACAAATCATTTTATACTACGTAAAATAGTAACAATTGCAACAGGGTCATAATGACCCACTTCAACGTTAGTGTAACTTTTTTCCGCCACAATGACGCCGGGTTAACACTCCACTAGCATTTTATTAATCAAATTCAGTACTCATTATTGTCTCTTCATTTGCATCATTTCAATGAAATTTAACAACTCCAGAATGTCTATGTATAAGTAATGACATGTCTTTAATATTCTATCCACTCTTATTTGTACTTACAATGAATGTTGAGATTATTGATATTCATCGTCATCTACTTATCAGTAACCAAATGTCCACAAAGTCTGTACTATGTTTGCTGAAGAACTGGGACGCCAAATAACGATCGGATCGATCGGTTAGAACAATTTGTAACAAATAGACACAAATGGTCGTACTTTGATGTATTATCAGCCCTTAAATGCCCACTGCTGAGCAAAGCCTCTTCTCACACGGAGAAGGTTTCAGCATTAATCGCCACGCTTGCTCAATGCAGGTTGGCCATTTCAAACTTATAATAAGAAATTATAAGTTCAGGTTTCCTCACGATCTTTTCCTTTACCGTTTGTCAGTAGTGTCTAAATAATCTTAGAAAGTACATATAACTCGGAAAAGGTCACATTGGTACTAGCCGTTGGTAGGTTTCGAACCGGTACCCTAATTCATGAGAAGCGGGCGTCTTAAACCTCCGGGCCACCACGACATAACTTTGATGTATGATTTATAACTATTGCAGATTATGGAAAGGTGGAAACAAAGGTTTATGGAGCAGAAACAGCGAAACCGGCTCATGGAACCGGTTCGTCAGTCAATGAAGAGATAGGCGATGGGAAAGCATTTCTGAGAGAAACCAAAGTTTATGCGGTTAAGAGCGAGTTTGCGTTGACAAAAATATACTCGACAAGGTTAACCGAGATGCTCAATTATGAATTATTCATTCGTTAGTTTTATAATGCATAACTCAGTTGGAGTTAACTCCTGACACGGAGTGGTTGTCTGATGATACAGCGGTTTAAAATTGTTTTTTCATCACATTTGTTTTAACTTACGAGTGACCTTGAACTTAGTGATGTGATAGTGTAAATAAACCATTTGTTTATGTGGTATTAAGTTTTTTGTTGCAGTAAGTATTGTATAATTGTATTTATCTATACTGCTTTGTTTATTTTATTTTACTACTTATTTATCTATATTGATAATTTTACCGTTAATGGTATTAACATAATTATGTCATTCATTTAGCGGCACTTCATCGAATTCATTGCAAATCACTGATTGTGATTTTAAAGTTGGTTTCCTAAAACCTTTATTATAATTTTACCTAATTTTGGGAGTTCATTGATAGATTATGAGTTCATTCCCGGTTGGTAACATATTGAAACAATTATCGAATTTTATCAAATGTCGGATAAATCGTAGATTAGTTGTTATTGACTGATTTTGACATTTGTTTCATTCATGCCATGAATTATGTTCGATTGCGCAATTATGGTAATTTGCCGCCAAGATGGGTCATTGCACTTTAAACACATAATAGAGTTGAGTCATTGACGACATGAATGAATGTAAGCCACGGCCAAAACAGTGATTGTATTTTTTCTGAAAATAATTTGTGTTATTTTTCTCTCTAATTAATATAAGTTTGAGCAACGGTTATTTTTATCTGTTGTCTAGTAATTGTTGCTTCATGTTGTTGCTTGCAGACAAATTTTGACTGCAAAACACGTCAGTATATACATTATGTACAGAGGCCAGCAGATCAATGTACTCCAAGGCCTATCGACTTTATGTCTATGCAATAAAGTTGAAGTTATAGTTGAAATTTGACAGAGAAGTATAGCTTGACATGTGGGTTACCGTACGTTTTACAGTTCATTCACCGGCATGGACTATATTTATAGCAAGTTTCGTGACGTCACTTTAAGAGGTTGTAGAAACTCGGTAGTTGTTTCCAGGTTAGTTTGGGCAGGTTCGACAACTTTTATATATTTTCACATATTACATTTAAAAAAATAATTTAGTGTAGAGACATAATTCATGGAACGAGAATTATAAAATTGAGTATAGACGCCTACACTTTAACATACACCTTTGTTTCACTGCATTAGATTATCAATTTTAATGTTTTGATATAACATCGAAAATCCTATGAAGACAATTGACATATTACAGTAACTGCCTGGCATCTATATATACATCACACTTGAATAAATATAGGAAACTTGAATAAAAATTGGTTGTTTTACTATTATTTTTGACTTATTTTGGAACAATAACTGTTTATCTTGACCTGCAATACATTACATAATACCCCACGAACAGGATAACAATAATAAATATTACGAAAAAAAAAACTAAAATAAACACTATTGCGCAATGCATATTTAACTCGTTAAATTGTATTGTGCAATATTTAAAAAGTTTTTATAGTGTTTCACCAAAACCTTTGGGAATTGGTGATCCCTAATTCCCGAAATTCTCAAAGCCGGTAACGTACTTGTAACTCTAGTGTTGCGGGTGTCAAATGCCAATGGACGATGTCGATTGCTTATCACCAGTCGATCCGTTTGCTCATTTGTCGACCAATCCAATATAAAAGTAAACTTGTTCGGATTTGTTCAAGCAATATTGCACAATTTTCAGAAATTATATTGAACCTATTCCACGCAATTACGTAATGTTTTATTTTAATGAATTACTCAAGATTTTATTTTTATAAATAGAAGATATTTTTGTGACGGACTATCAGTTGTGGTTTGATTCGTGCACCAGTGAGGTTCCTAGTTATTTAGGAACTGGGTGTAAATATTCTTTTGAAGTAACATTTGTTGTGCGGGACGTGGATAAGAGGTATGTACTATGAGTATTTTTATGAATGAGTGTTTATTTTTTAGGTTTTACATATAAATTTTAGACTTTCTTCAGATAGTAAGATTTACTTTGTAATCTGCCTTTTTACACCAAATAAACATTTTAGTTATTATTTTTTTTATTTACTCTTTTACGAAATGATACTTAGTAGTTTTAATTAAATATTATGTTTAAATTAAATAAATAAATAGTTTTGGTTTTTAGTCATAACATCGTTTTTGCATATTCCTTTTTATTTTTTTTTTAGATTGATTAATCATATTGATGCGTTAGTTTTCTTTCAAAATTTAACCCTTTTTTATTTTTTTAAGGGGGAAAATCAATAAATAAATAAATACAATCATCGAATGACTGCTCCCGCCTGGGTGAGGCGGAAGGGAGTGTCAGACTCTTACTGACTAAAAACCACCCCGTTCCTTCTCCTGCACGTCGAGCCGGAGCCGTCGAGCCTTAGGTTCTCCGCGACTCCGAATCGGCATCGGCCCTATTGGGCCCCGTTTGTGGTGGTCTGATGGCTCTTTAGGGCGCGCGCGGAACGCGACGCGCCGTACGCTCGGGTCTGTTTCTGGTCGGACGGGGAGCCACCCATGCTCGCTGTCCGCAGTCCCGCGCTTAC